AAGATTTTCATGTTCAGTACATGCCAGATACGTTAAATTCTCTTGACTATAGATACCAGATTGATCACCTAAAAACTGATTCCAGAGATATGGACTTGCGTCCATCATACCTGCACAATATATCCATTCCTTCCACCACGGTAGAATTCTATGATATTCATCAGAAATATAAATATCTCACAAAAATATTTAATTTCAAAGCATGTTTTCTCCAAATTAATATGATATGATATTACTTATGTATGATATGATGTGCGAGAAAAACATGATTAAAATTATAGCTAATTGCAAAGTAAAGTATACGCACTTAGAGGGATATGTGACAAACAAACTAAGTTTAACAGTGGCAGCTTCTTTACATAATTTATGACCGAATTTACAAGCCCATCTTAATCCTAATAATCTTAAAGATTTTATCATATCATCATCCTTAATATATTCTTCATATCCGATCTTATCAAGAAGACTGTTCAAGATGTCTGACAAATATGACTGCGTAATAATATTAAAATATATTTAGTAATATTTAAAAAACACATGAATTTTAAATTGATTGTTTTTTGTAATGACATAACATATGTGGATGTATATAGAGAAATTATTTGGTACTTATTACGTACATATTACATTGTACGCATTATTTAGATAATATATTATATATCCCTAAACCATTCGACATTTTAATATGCATATTATGCATAATATATACTGGATACATATTATGTACTGACTAATTTATATATATAAGAGAATGTTTTACAACTTGCCTTGTAACGTATACTTTCTGGTAATTCAAAATACTTCGACATGTACGTAAAAATATTGAACATAGAATACCAGGCTACATAATGACTTTCTCTCTTTAGGTATTTAAGTAGATATAAGAAGGTGTTAACATCATGTTTACCATTTATCACAAAATAATACGCATCATCAATTAACTGAGCGCGATTCAAAACATTAATTTGTGTATAATTATGATAGATTAAGTGAGTAGAGATTTTCACCCAATTATTGGAGTCGTAATTGACGCGATAATATCCTGCAGATAAAAAAAAAATAGCATTGTGTTAAGCTATTATATCATATTTTTTAGTCATATTTACTGAGGACTGTTAGTTCTCATGTTTCTTTCTAGACAGTATAATAAGAAAGGTTCGAAGATTTACGTATATTATATAAAATATAAGATATAAAACGTTACATAACCTAAAGTAAACGTATCATCATAGATATTTAGCGATAAATACTCACCCATTTGTTCCACATTCACAATTATAAAATCATACATATCAGTTTCAAATGTATATACGTTGCTTAAACAATCGAATAAGATTTTGCTCGGTGTATTATACACGAAAGTACGATTTGATATTATAACATAAGTTATGGGTATCTTCCACCTCGTTTCGTTGCAAGTATATACCGAAAGTATTATAGAACCTGTATTATTATCACAATCGACTTTCAACTCGGGAAAATGCCTTTGCGTTATCCATGTGTCCATTATTTCAGTTATGTTGTAAGGCATTTGCTTGTTTAAAAGCCTTTACTCTGTGGTCCAGAGGTCACTGATAGAGGCTGAGATATCCTCACTAAACAAATAAAATTTAACTTAAATAACTCGTAATTTTTGTATTGTTTTAAATAAAGAAGAAAATGACTGCCTTATTTTACATCGATTTATGTAATTTATTATCTCAGCACCCATGATAACGCATTTCATAAACGCATTACTGACATCTCCAACGTCAAATATGTGTCATTAATAGGTTAGTTAATGTCGTATTGTAATTTAGGTAAAAATATATCAAATGATATATGTATGACATCTTAAAGACATCTAAAAGAAATCTTAAATTTCGAAAGATCTTATAATATCTTGCGCCCCGACATAAGGACGTCATCGAAACATTGTTTCAAGACGCATTAAATAAAATGTGTTTAAGATGTCTTTTAGACTTGTGTGTTTTCCTGGAATATATTAATTAGGATATATTGTTATCGTATTATACCATGCATTACTTACCATTCTTCTACACATTTCCGAATACGTTTGGAGAAATATTCCGGCTTCTCAAAAAAATACAAGAACATGCGCATTAAAACAGCTCCTACAATAATTTATAAACATAATTGAATAAATTGACATAACCCTAGTATCACTCTTTGGTGTAGCATATCTATACTATTTTTTAAACGGTTGCCGTTTCTACATAATGAAAAGTACGGGAAGTCGGAGGTTAGAGAAAAATAATTTCCGCTACAACTGCTTGCTGCGTAGCCCTATCTATTTAGCTGTTTAGCAGATTTAGTAAATATCATTGAAATCAATTCTGACGTTAAAATACTTTATATTAAAATAACGTAATTTTTATAAACATTTGTCCCATATCCTTTTCCGGAAAGTTATATACTTCACTTTTAATAATGGTAATTAATTTTATATAATACAGTGTTACAAAAAAAACCATAAATCCCCAAATAAGCTTTGGTGATTATCGAAATTTTTAATCTTTTTTCCAAAATTTCAAAATTTTATAACACCTCAGTCTTAAGCAATATTAGTAGTGTACTCCTGACATTCTAACGTTCAAATTAAAAACGAGATTGTTAAAGAATATCCACTACTTGAAAAAATATGCAGACTCAAAAGTAGCTAGATGTATTACACCCATTATGGTTAATCGGAATTGGAAAGAAGTGTGGTGTGTATGAATTAATATATGTGGATATTGCAATAAATTATATAATGTTGAAAATTGAGTGAGAAGACAGCAAGACATAATTTACTGCATTTTAAACGCACTCTTTACATTAAATAATATCTTATCCGCTATCAATTCTATATTTAAAGCGTTCAGATGTTCTTGAATTATTTAAAAAAAATCAGTTCTTTTCAGTGCTTTAATTGTATAGTATATAGAAGATCATTTATATGAATTTATTACGTCTTACCTTTATTATAATACAATCGGGAGTAATGAATTGCATCAATTTCATCAATGGGAAACAAGATCTTGTTCTGTAACACAGGTGCCATTTGGAAATCGACGTCATAGTATAAAGCACCCTGCATTGTCTGAACGACGGAGAGATCCATAAACGACGAGTAAGTTGAGTTCTAGAAGTGATTATTATTGCCATCGAATTAACACGATATAAAAAACAACGTACGGGTTAACAATATAGAAGAATAAAATGCGTGACCTGTAGAAACGTAACTATATTCTGACAAAGGTAGGAACGTAGACTTACTTGAAAAATAGTAAAATGACTTAAGAAGGATGCCAATATCTTAATTAACCACTGATAAGAAGGACAGATTACTTGACCAAGGACTTCCCGCGCCATAGCATCGCCTATGAACTTGTAGATATTAATTTTACGACCAGGAAAATCAGTATTAGTATCAAACTTAATGCTATGTTCTCTGCAAGATAAACATAATATCATTTTGTGGAATATATCTGGACATAGATCTGGCATCACATATTCATAAATGTTTATTCTTGCGCAATTTTATAGGAAAAAAGTATCTTCCTGAATTTCACTGTTTCCAATAATTACTTTGCCTTATTAAAAGGTATATATTTGTTTCCCAAATTGCCGATTAATATTATAATATCCCTTCTAAATGACAAGAAGACATCGCTCTAAAACTTTCTACTCCATAAGCTATCAGTAGATTATGTAATAACATTAACTGCACCCTGAATACATACCTGTATATAATAACTCCTAAACTTCCTATGACTTGTAACGGAAAATTCGGAATCACGATGTGATCGGTTTTCATAATTCTGTCTTCGACTTTGAAATTAGTTGTCAAATTTCTTTTTATATAATAAATTTCATTCAAAATGTTCGTTTCCTCCACAGTTATATGTAGTTTACACCATAAATACTCGTCCTCCAAAGTATGTTGTATCATATTATCAAGCATAATAATTGCCACTTGACTTGAAGTTATAGGTTTACTAATATGGAAATATGTTAATGACATATTATTTGACTCATGTAACAACTTCTGCACTGGCATATTCGATATAACTTGGTATTGCTCAAAATGCCTGATTACAATCTCATAATTCATATATATTTCCGGCTCGTCCCAACATGGAAATACAGTTCGAGCACGGTTCGATGTCGACAATATTCCAAAAAACGACCTAATGCATAACATTACTTCAGTAAAGATAAAGCAATTTCAATTGTTACATAAATTACATTTGTCAATTAGTTATGTATAAATGGCATTAATTGTTATTGTATTGGGAATTCAGCCTGGATCTTAGAATAATGTTTACGAAAGACGCTCCGTTTATATATTAATAGTAATTAATATCTTTTAATAGTTATATAGTTTGTACAACGATTATAATTGTGTCATTTGATCGTTTAGTTTATCTATTAATAGTTATTAATAGTTTGGAGTAATATACAAATTGTTATATTTTCCGAACGAAGGAATTTACTTCTTTCTACAAAAAATAAATTTGAAGACAATATTACATGACTACTTTATGTTCGGAGTTTATTATTTCATAAAAATTAAAAAAAAAATTACATTTCTTCTAACCAAAAAACATTTACATTTGCAGTTACGTTTATATTTATTTTTGTGGACAATAGAAAGTTCCTTGTAAAATTAAATGGGACGAAAATGCCGCGACATTAAGTATATAAGTATCAGGTGAAATATAACTTTGTGTTTTTTCGCGTACGCGCACGCGTCATGAAAATCAAAGGAAACCATCGCAGCAATATCAATAACTTATCCGAAATCCTAACGTCAAAAAAATTTTGATTATAATATCTTGCAAACTAAAGCCATTAGTATTAGTTATAAAAACATTTTTCTTGTATATTTACTATACCATGATTTCAATTCTGATACAAAATTTTACAATGTTCCACGAGGATATTTCAGCATACAGTTATTTTCTTGATACATTGTACTTGAAATTTATCAACAATCTATTCAGATTGTTAAACATTATATTTGAAAAGAGAAAGAACCAATTAAAATTACTTGACAACTTTTATTAATTTCTTTTTTGTTCGTATAATGTAGTAAAGACGTCCTGTGTTCTTTTTTGTTATGCATTTTGTGCGTACTTATAATAATTTGTTATTAGAATTTTTAGTACTTTTGAATCACATATTGAAATTAGTTTATAGACATTTTCATATACACATTATATTACTATTTGCACAACATATTTTATACGAGATTCAGTTTAAACGATATGCGCGCGTGCGTGCGCATTTGATGTGTGAGAGAGTGTACAGGCTCAATAATTATGTTATGATTTATTATTTTTAATCATTATTACTTATTATTATTATTTATTATTATTTATTGTTCTTAATGATATCATTAAAACTATTATTATTGTACAAATCTGTAATTAGTGAATTTAAATTTTGATAGTTTTGTGAGTTTCTAGCTTTCCTATATCTAATCCATTTTGCAACCTAATATAAATAATAAAATTCTTGTAACATATAACAGTGATAATATTGTAAAATATAGGATATCGAAAATATGTCTTCTACAAACTGGTTGCGCATACACGGAATTAAAATGTTCACTCACCTTTTAGTTGTTTCAGTTGCTGTATATGTTATATATTGATGTGTAATAATATTTTCAAGCATATTGTGATACGTACTGATGAAAAACATATAGAGGTTATATAATCCAGGAGGTATCATCTCATCAAAAAATATGTCGAGGATCTGTGTTTTAGTACAAAATCGATAAGATGATAGAGAATATTTTGTACTATTAATTATGCTCTGTAACTTCAGTTATCGGATTTAACGATATTGTATCTTTATACAGGGTGTTCAAAAAGTCCCGGACCGGTGAAATATCTCGAAAACTAAGCATTTTAGAAAAAAATGTTTCAGATAAAAGTTGTGGCGTTTAAAAAGATGTATTTACTGATCACATCAGTTTGACCTTG